AGACTCATGATGCTGGCGCGGTTACCTTCCAGATCGAAGGTCAGCACAAAAACTTGTCCTACGATGGATTCACCAAGGCCCTCGGCCTAGACCACACCAGCATGTTCACAGTGGAGCCCACCATACCACAGGAAGACTTCCAGACTTTTTACCAGTGGATCTGCCTGCACCAGCACGCCGTGGTCCCATATGCTCATAGTCGGACCCGAGCCAGGCAGTTCCAGACCCGATGGTGATTCCAGGAGGCTTTGCTGGCTCACTTCGTCATCCCCTATCAGGAGGAAATCGGACAGGTGACCAAGAGCCACATGTACGCTCTAATCACCATGTCCTGCGCCCTGGATGACCTCAACTTTGGCTCATTCTTGGCGATCTCCTTCTCTCAGGTGAAGAATCACTCGAAGGTGCTCACACTACATGGGGGGCCCTACGTCACTCGTCTGGCCCGGTACTTCGGAGTGCCTCTCGACGGGTGTACTAGGGTTGGTCGCTCCAGAGACTTTCCTGACGAGACCCAATACTCCATGGGGCTGTTTTAGGTCGCTCGGACGGATATCCGCGGATCCGTTGGCTCAAAGGCCTGCGCATGCCAAGTTTGCAGAGTAGGCGCAAGCCGAGGCTCCTGCCGCCGGTCGGATTCCACCACATCAGCCTGATTCCGACCGGCTACAGTTCTTCCTCGGTGCCTCTGGTGCCGGTTCTTCATCAACAGCGCCGTCCGACGACCGTTAGGCAGCCATGAAGGCTCGCTTGGATCTTAATGAGGAGCATAGACCATGAGCATGACGCCCGACGTTACTCTCATTACTAATAGAAAGTAATACATCACGCATCATAGAATAAACATCCCAAACAACAAAGGGCTTAGCTAGGCATGCGAGGTTGAGGAGGAATCATCGATGATAGATTCATTCTTTCCTCAATCCGGTAGAGGTTAAGCTATTTTCGAGTGTAAAAAGTTATTTTCTAACTAAAGTCTAAACACTTGTTTATAATACAAGAGAGAGGGGGAAAGGTTGGGATTTTCCTCCTAAAATTCGGCCAGAAGCTTCCTAAAACCTCTAGCGTTAGGGCTGCAAACGAGCCAAGTCGAGTTGAATTTTTGCTTAGCTTGAGCTCGGCTCGTTTATTAATTTTTCAGCTCGAGCTCGGCTCGAACTCGAATTTTGATAATCCAGCTCGAGCTCGAGCTCGGCTTGAATAAAAATAATCTAGCTCGAGCTCGACTCGGTAGAGCTCGATAATTGCTCATTAACATAGCTTGTCAAGCGGGTAGTCGGCGGTCGGTAGTCGTCGCATAGGGTTCGACTAGAGGGTATAGTGGATTAAGGTTTGGTTAGAATATATAGAATAATCGGGTGTTGATTCTTTTTTGTTTCTAAAATTACCCTGAAACAAAATTAACCGTGAGATTAGAAAAAAGAGGAAAACAAAAAAAATGGACGGCAGATAGTGATGTAACCACAGTGGCAACTAAAATTTTAGTTGTCACCCTAACACATTCCACACAAATAAAATCCACACCTTAAACAACATAGGGTGTTTAGCTCGACATTGAAAGACAGTGTGCCAATATAAACTGTTCCTCTTATCTCTTAAACACTAACGAGAGATTGCCCTCCCTCATTTAATAAAATCCCCAAAGCAAGCCTCTTAGTCTTGTACTATCAAACCTTTACAAATTACAGGGACACAAACTGCAGCTAAGGATGGGCAACACGATTACAGGAACGCGTGATATGTGTCCCAACTGCCAATAATAACTTAATATATACATGTACAAGTATCCAAAAAGAGCAAACGTAATTCAAGTAAACATATAGTAGTAGTGATCATGTGAGTATACGAGGGGAGAGGAGACAAGAGGCGAAGTGGTTGATTGCATCATGTATGATTCAATGCTTCTGTAAGCAGCCACCCATTGAATAACAGCAAAAAAACATAAAAAAGAAATAGAAATGAGAAAAAGGGGGGGAAAGTAGGTGTTCTGTTCCATTGGAGGAACTTTCTTTGTGATACAAGACAACTACCAAATACCCATCAAACTAAGTAGCACATAATGAAAAAGGATCAGAGAGCAGCCAGAAGAAGTACACTCCCAAACGCCTTTTGCTCACATTGGAGGGCTCGGCTCCACTTTGTCCCTCACGTTTTCCCCCCACAATGATCCAGTCCACGTGAGACAGCCTCCCTTTCCCCCCCTCTTTTGTTTTATATATGATGCACGACAAAAACCCAAAATCAAAAACAAAAGGAAAACAAAAAAAAACAAGTTTGGTAGAAGGAAATTCACATATATGATGCACGCAAGAGGTATTGATGATGAGTAATGGATGCAATGTATAGATTATTCATTCATTCATATGACACAAGGTTTTTTTAGTTTTTCTTTTTGTTTTTGCATATACGGCATGTAACACCTTAGGCGAATCCCACGTCGACAAAGCACGAGAGAGATCCATGGTTCATAAGTAGAAAACCGACCTTAACTGACAAGACGCGTTTTGAGGTGAAATGGAGGAGTTCTTGTGAGAACTCCGAAGTTAAACGTGCTCAATATGAAGTACAACATGGATGGGTGACCTTATGGAAAGTCACCTTGAATTACACCCCAAGTAAAAAACGGTGAGGATCGAGGCCCAAAGTGGACAATATCTTCGTCGGGAAAAGGTTCGGGATGTTACACTGCAAAAACCGTCCCACTATCTCTGTAAAAGCTAAGCCTTGTTTGTGGCGGAGAAAGAAATCGAGAGGGAGAAAACGAGGAGTTATCCATGTCTATGAGATTTTTTAAAACTGAATTTTTAGAAATAATTATGAAATAAATATTATATATTTGTTTTTTATTTTACATAATTATGAAAATAAATTACATCGAGTAAGCTGCCAGAAAGTAGTGAGAGAAAGTGTTAAGTATAAGTGTAAAGTGATGTTTGTAGGCAAAGTTTCGACCTTCGATCTCGACTGATGGTGCGGACATCTTAGTCGGGGCAAGTCGGTTCACCCTCTTTTCTCTTACATGAGTAAACATCTTAATCTGCAACGACTTGAAGCTCTCGAACTTCATTGAACCCTACAAGGTGGTCCATCTCAACCCTAGGAGAACTAGTTTGGAATTTCGGAAGTTGTTTAGCATATATCAAGTCATAGATAGTCATTTGCAGACTTTGTATCCAAAAATCATGAGAGAGGAGGGTGCGCGTCGTTGGGCTAACAAAGGATTCATGTCTTCCAAGTTTGAGTTTCTCTTCTATGTGATAGTTTTCTGTTCATCTAATTACCTATCCAGGCTACCTATGACTGGATTCCAGTGGATCTTGGTTACATTTTGATAACTTGATGCATCTTCAACCCTGAGTTCTAGTGATCAATGCTGATGATTTGGACATGAAAGCTTTACCAATTTGGGGATAGCAAGTCTTATTTAGCCTTCTTGTCCTACTTTTGTTTCTCTCCTGCGGGGATTTGTTTACTGGGTTTATTTTACAGAGTCTTTACTCATTGTATGAACTATTTCCTAGATTTTGGGTGTCGTGAGTGATATGAGTATCATGTTTCTCCACACACACAAAAAAAAAAAGGTGTGGCTATCTAAACCACCGTTAGAATATGTGAATTTTAAATGGTTGGGTTGAATTGCTAGTTTGATAGGGTTCCCACTAGGAGGGGATCAAATAACAAGATTGACTCGCTTTAATTAAAACTCTTAATAATGGCCAAGTATAACCAATAATATGGACTGCAGTATAGTGGTGTCAGTAATAAGTATTGAATCCACGAGATCTCTATATTTACTATTTACTCAGCTTCGATTTATTATCTAGCAAATCAAATTAAGGTTTGATTAACTAAACTACTCCTACAAGCTACTCTAGGTTGAACTACTAATTACAAGTTGGAAACTCACTTAGGTATGATTTTTCCTAATCACTAGCCAAATTAATTATTGATGATCTCTAACTTGTTTCACTTTGATTCACAATGCGGATAATTCTTGACTAGACATGATTGAGTCTCGACTAAAGAAGGCAGGGTCCTATTAAGTCCGTTATCTAGAGGGACGTCTCCTTCTCTAGAAAAATCGATCAGGGCAATGCTTTGGAGTTGTTTAGGTGATCTTGTTCATGTTCAATAAATTTTTGGCAATGCTTTGGAGTTCCGTAATGAACGAACCATCTATTTATTCACAATAAATTAAAAAAAAAAATTGGTGATCCCTTTGAATTTGATCCTTCCCATTTCCACCCACATGAGACTTCCACACCAAAACCACCACCAATATATCATCATGATCTTCATTCACTCTCGCCAAATATCATGTCCGTCTCTTTCCCCAAAGCGCAAAAGGTGGTGGGGTTTGTGCTTTCGAACCTAAGAAACTACTTAGAATTTACATACAACACCGCATTGACCAATTTAGAAATTGTAAAGTTATGATGCCAACTTCACTATCAGGACCAATTTTTGACGGCTTATTTATATTTTTTATTTCTTTAATCTTCCCAACCAAGTTGTCGATCCACTATTTTTGAAAAATTGAGGTTCCAATACAAATCCCTTATGAAGATATACAAATCAGATCTTACCACTGTAGTTTTAAGACTATGATATATCAATGATAACATTATAGCAAATACGTGTTCTAAAGAATTTTTTACTCGAATATACAAAATTGAATATCATTGTGATTTTGTGTGATTATATGAAATGAAATTTTGTACCATATTCGATTCGTTATTAGATTACATATAGGTATAAAATTTCAGTTTGTGCTAATTAAGGAAATACGTACCTTGTCCTTGTTAATTGTTGGGCAAAAGTAGCAAGCAAACATTTTATGCGTATAAAACTTACACACACTTTTTTAGTTGTTTCCTTCTAGGAAAAAAAAGACAATAAAGATAACTGTTGATGAATTATAATTTTATATACGTCAGTTTTTTCGGGAAAGTATGTCAACGTCTGATAATCGATAAAAGAAGAGAAATATATGAACATTTAATTGATTGTCAAGGAGAAGATAATTAATAAATCCATCTTTCTACATTTGATTGATAACATTCAAAACTAATTAAGAACATGAAACGACTTCATATGAAGATTACATCATTAGTATGTTTGGGAACATCTATATTCGATAACTACATGCAAAGCTAATCAATTCAACAAACTAATCTCGTCAAGGTCATCCAAAGATAAGAATACTTCATCCAAGCAAGATAGCTCTATCGACCCATTGCCATCGTCATCATCACTTGAGTCGCTCTCATAGACCCGACAAATAACCCATTTGCTATGATCCTGAAAAACAAAAAACAAAAAAAAAAAGACAAAGTCAGACTAGAAAAAAATACAAAATATCGTGTAAAATGATCATTATAATATAATAACAAAACAAAAATGAATGGAATTGAAGTGGTATACACGTGTGAAACACTAGGGACTTACTTTTAACCCTCACTATATTAACTATTCAAACAATTAAATTTAATCTGCTCGACAGTAAGCCGGTTTTAATGTGGTTTCGAATGACTGCACGCACCACCACGACCATTATAATTACTACTACTATATATATGTCATGTCGCATCACTATATAATAATCTTCGAGAGGAATGATAAGCTAAGCAAGACAGCATTATAGTTAGGGATGACAATGAGGCGGGACCTACGTACCATTCGAGAGCGCGATCTTGTACTTCTCGACGACCTGGAACTGCTACTGCTACCAGAAGTAGCGGAGGAATCTGGGAGGCGATACTCTTCCATCATCCAATTGGTTTTCGCTTCGCCGGCGAAGAACATCAAGTACCTCTTCAGCCCAACTCGCCTGTTGCCACCCGAGATAACGGGCTCCTCCATCCCTGCGGGCTTCCAGTACCCATTCTGCGTCACCTTGTTTGCACTCCGCCGGCTGTAGAAGTACCATTGCTTCCCCTCCGCCAGCGCCTTCCCTGCATTTAGATACATAAAGACAGTGAGTGCACCGAAAACAAAATCCACTCGATCGCGTATTAAGAAAACATCGATAAATCGAAAATACCATCAAGATCCCACGGGTCATAGTGATAGAGGTCGAGATCGGGGATCACGTCGGGGTGGCAAGGGAGGAGGGCGGCTTTGCGCTGAAGGAAGTGGACGACGAGCTCCTCGTCTGTCGGGTAGAACCTGAAGCCAGGCGGCAGGCCATTGTTGTTTGCATTTTCCGCCATTCTTATGGGTTGGATAGAGAGATGGAGATGGAGTGGGTGACAATATTTATAGGGTGGGAGATTGTTGGATCGCCATCTAGCTAGTGATTATTGTCAACAAACGAAACAAAAGAGAAGTAGATGAAGGGAAGGAAACAAGTGACGTAAAGAAGAAGGCAAACGACATAAAAAAAAAAGTAGGGCGGAAGTGTGCAGTATAGTAGTCGCAAGAGTAAGTGTGGGTTGCATCACAGGAAAAGAAATCATGATATATAATCATCGAGAGGGAAAGGAAGGGTGGAGTTTTTTAAGTAACGGTATCTGTTAGAATTGGAGGGAGCCAGCGGCTGCAGCAGGGCAGGCAGGCCTCCTTAATACAATAAAAAAAATATACGGTTTGTGTATACCGCACTCACACATGACTCTATATTGTACGTAATGGTCTAGAAATAGGGGGGAAAAAATTCATCATATAATATTGAGGTCATGTACCTGACAAACGACGGAAATACACAACGTTAATTATAAGCAATCAAAAAATAATTACACATAAATTGTTACATTTGCATTTCATCACCAGTATATTCTAAGTTTGAGATCGTTTTGAAACAAATTATTAGATGGTCAAAATGGTTATTATGAGAACTGTGTACACATGCAGTAGGTAATTGGTAATTTGGTACTAGATAAATTCATATATCTCGGGAAACACAAAAGAGTTATATTTGTACCGTACTAGTAATAGTATTGTAAGCAAAGAGACAATGTTTTTGGAGTCGTGGAGACTACTTATGCTTCTCGTGAAGTTATGATTGTAGTTTCCTCTCTCTTAACAGAAAACATGCATGTATATGAATGTGTAGAGAATTAATACAATAAAAACCAGGATTGGTTTCAGGTTTGAAGGTGTTCATCATAACAAATAATCACCACTCTGAAACCGTTGCTTGGAAGACTCAAATTAAAGCTCTAGTACATTACGATGCAAGTAATAAAATCTTAGATGAACTAGGATCGTATTTCACAAGACCATTCGATAACAACTATACTCAAATTAATGTTTGTATTTGAATAAGAGAACGCAAATAGAAGTAAAAACAACGGGTTGAGGTGCCCTTTGTCGAATTTCTATCCTACTAAAGCAAGTAAAGGAGGTAATTAAAACTATTGTTTAGGAATTCTATTAGTAAGATGCTTCAATGCATCATCGATCTAGAGAAATTTTACAATGCTATATAGTATTGGTGCTATAGGTTTTTGCCTTTATGGTACAACTTAAAATTGTACATTTACGTTATGGTACAACTTCAGATTGTACCTATACTTTTTGCACAAATTCTTTTATGGTACAACTTGAACTGTACCATTATGTGATGGTACAACTTCAAGTTGTAAAGTTGTACCATAACATAATGATACAAATTGTTTTATGGTACAACCTAAACTTATACATTTAATGTTATGGTACAACTTTAAGTTGTACATTAAAGCACCAATACTATATAGCATAGTAGAAGTGCTCCATCGATCTATTATGATACCCTATCGCTTCCATTAATGCATTTCGAATCGAGCTTTCACCACATGCGAAAGGAAGAATAACTAGGTGATGCGTGTTTTCTCTTCCTATCATCAACTAACTAAAGAAGAACAAGGAAGTTAGAATTAATACATGGTTAAATGTGGACCTGCAGTGGACAGTGGTCTATAGCATCGATTATCTAACAATCAAATATTGGTACTAAGTATATACGAATAGGTTGTATATATAGCTAATTACTTAACTAGTTAATTTTGATTTGATTTGTTAGGAGTGTCTGAAAGCAAACCAAACAAGCTAAAAAATTTAACTAAACCAAACCAATTATCTAAATTAACCAAACCAAATTATCCAAATACTACTGGTTAAAACGATTACCATGGTAACCACACCGTTTGAACACCCCTATCTTTAACTTTAGAAGCTTTTTTATAAGTATAATGGTGGAGAGCCAAACGTTTTGGGGAAAACGAGGCGGGGATTTTTGGAGCCAAAATGAAAGGTATGAAAATTTCCCCCTTTTGCTATTCGTCGCCATAAAAATCCTTATTCGTCGTCCTAATTAAGTTAATTTTACTATAATACCCTTAATTTAGTTTAAACACTTAAACCCAAACACAAACTTATAAATTAAATTCATAGCAACCCAATAAACACTATCTTTCCTTTTTTTTTAGAAAAATGGGACGCTAAAAGGGCGCCCCCTGCCAGGTACTTTAAATTAATCGCGATTGGGAAAAGCCCAAAGTATCATACAGGATCCAGAAATTAAGACCCGGATCATAAATATCAAAATCGTGAAATGCGCTTTAGCGAGAAAATCAGCCGCCTTATTGCATTCTCTGTAAATATGAGAGATCTTAATCTCCCAATCTTTTTGAAGGAGGTGCCCAACCTGGTTGGAAAGGTTGTAGAGTCTTTCGTTGCTATGGTCCTTTGCCGTGAAAAAGAGATAAGTTGTCATAGAATCCACCTAAAGATGAACTTTACGATAGCCCCTGGACCACGCAAGTTGGAGTCCCTGAATTGCCCCTTTGATTTCCGCTCTTGTTACTGTGCTTACTCCCAAGTTTCCCACGAAATCTGCGAGGTATTTGCCGGAACCATCCCTGATGAGGCCTCCCGCTGCTGCTAATGAATCAAACTGACGAACCGATCCGTCAGTTTTAACAACGACCCACCCGTCCATAGGGGGCTTCCACGCGAGATCAGATGGTGTTTTCTTCTGCGATGAAGCTCAGAGTTTCGTGTCGTTCTCATGAGCTTTCTTTATTGTATTAGTCCAGCTTTGAATGTGATATGCAAGCGTTGACATCAATTGGAATTTCTTCTCGAAAACCCATTCATTGTGCCTCTTCCACAGGTACCAAGCTGCTACACCAAAGAGGGTGCCCGTCTTCTCATCCTGGAGGTGCCTCGACATCCAATCTGCAAATCCCAAACCACAAGTCAGATTTGTCTCCGCTATTTCGAGTTTTTCCAAACCTCTTTCGCCACTAGGCAGTCACGAATAATGTGCTCGGTAGTTTCGGGTGCAAGCTTGCAGATGTCGTAGACGTCATTTGTGCAGAGCTTCCTCCTCTTTCTTTCGCTATTAGTCAACAGGCGATCATGTGATGCAAGCCAAAGAAAGTGCTTGATTCTATTGGGTCCCTGCCATTTCCATATGTGTTTCCAGTGAGGTCGTTTGTAGCTTGCATTCTCCTCGTCCTGATTATCTTGCAACCACTCCGCAACTGCTGTGTAAGTCGAGCTTAGGCGGAATCGACCGTCCTTCTCCCTGCCCCATAAGGTAACATCCTCTCCCAGCTCTTGTCGAGGAGCGTCCGTACCTGCAATGACAGGAATAGCATTATTAGTAACCAGAGGCGTAATCTTTGGCCAGTCCCACTCACCTGTAATTGTGGCCATGTCTGCCACTGACGCATTCCAGTCCATGTTTTGATCCTCGGCGGCGACATAATCCTTCAAAATAACACCTTCGGCTAACCATTGATCGTGCCAATAGTTGATGCTTTGACCATTCCTCACATCCCAGACGGTCTCTTGCTTCATCACGGGCAAGGCCTTCCGGAGTCCCTGCCAGAGACGAGACGTAGCCCTGGCATCCTGTCGAACATATTTCCGCTGGATGACTTTAACCCACAACTCATTTTCATTGTTCAGGAAGGTCCAACCAAGCTTCATCAAGTAAGCATGGTTGAGGGCTCGAGCAAACCGGAGCCCAAGCCCCCCTTCTTCCTTCGACCTGCAAATGGTTTCCCAATTCACCAATAAGAGGATTCAAATATTGTCAAAAACCCGTTTAGCAGAAGAGAAGTAACCTTATTTTAGCATACAAATCAATAAGAGGATTCAATGCTATAGGATTAGAATCCACACCATGAAAAATGATCCTTGCATGAATTTCCTTGAAACCAAAATCAATGCCACCATTATTACAAGCCCGCAACGCATTGGCAAAGGTAAATTCATTGGGGCTCACAGTCACAGCTTCTGCTAACTGCCGCGAGAATGACCTGCGACGTAAATTGGATTGAGAAACCATATGGGTTTTTGGAATTTAGAGAAGATGTCCCTCGTGAAAGCTGAACGATCATTGGGTGGCTTTGTATCTTGGAGGGCACTGGGGAGTTTTATGTCCAGTTTAACAGCGACGGTCGAGTAGCAGTAGCGGGAGCATATGGTGGGAGCAGGGGAGGCGGAGTAGGGGGTTCTGGGTTTCTGCGGCGAATGTGGATTGGGGTGAGTGAAGGGAATGTTTGGTTAGGGTTAGAATTGAAATTGGGTTGAGGGGTAAATATGTAAATTTATTGTACTTTAGGGCGATAAAATTTGAATTTTAGGGCGACGAATAGCGATTCAGTTAATTAAAGGTAAATTGCACATGCTTCATGGGAATTGACGGTGAATAATCATTAGTCACGAGAAATTAAACTTGAAAAAAAGAGAAATTAATTTCCGTGACTAATATTATACAATCAATTACGGGAAATTTCGAGTGATCATTAGTATACTTACTAGTACGGGAAACATTCTCGTAAATAAGTTCCCGTGACTAGAAACCTATTCTCTTGTAGTGTGTCAATCAATCCATACATGCACAGGGCAATGGGATATCACAAGAAAATAGTTTCCTAACATGATGATATTATAAACGATGCATATAGTAGTACATAATAGAATTGTATGCATCGGTGATGGAAAGAATTAGAGTGAAATAAACATCTCAATAAATCTTAAAAACATACATGAGTATCATAAATTCACATTCCTAAACAATAATAAGCTAGCACGATACAAGAGAGATGGAAGACATCACCAATTATACAGGCATCGATGGTGGCGGCCTCCTTAATTTCTTCCTCTGACAGAACTTCCCTCTCTAACTTTAGCTAGCTCGTGCCCAATGGAGCAACGTGTGTGTAACTCTAAAACTCTTAGTCTAAACCTCTATTTATAGTACATGGAAGAAGGCGTTTTCTAGACCTTTTCCTTCTAAAACTCGGCTAAAACTATCCTTGTACGACTTGAACTCGGATTTTCTTTCTTGGGTACAAAGTAAGCACCTTCTAGAAGCTTTCCATGGGATTGGGCTCGAGCGCTAGCCTCTAGACAGTCACCGTCTTTGCTACTCCATCGAATATTAGACCATCGATGTTAGAATAACTAAGCCATCGATGATCGCGGTCGTCCTATTAAATAATTTATAACAATATATGGTACATCGTAGGACCAACTTCCCAAACAGTACAAACTTAATTAGCCACTCGAAATAGATAAGAGATAACCAAATCAATGGTGAGAGAATCATCTCTTACCAGAACTTTGACGGTTTGTCTATGTAAAAAGTGTGTATAATAACTGAGGCCTAGACACTTATTTATAGTACAAGATATATTTGTAAATGTTTTACTCCTTCATATCTTGATTGTTTGACGTGGTGATCATCCTTCCTCAACCTAATTTATGATAGATTGTGCTACTTTTATTACATTTTAGGTCCAAGTACATACGGAAAGCTCCGATACGAGTTTCCAGACATTTGGAGGTCAAAACGAGCCAAAAAGTAGAGGTTGGGCATGAAAATAGCACTAAAACTGTGAAGTTGCAGAAAAACGGTACGTTTTCAGTTGAGATCACGTTTTGAACTATTCACGATCGTGAAGTGCACACCAAAACCGTCCATAGTTGTTTCCAGTCGATTGGAATGTACCTTTCCTCCTGGTTTTCTTCTAGCTTCTTTCACCATTCCTTATATCCCGATCTAGCTGAGTACTTCCCGGTCTTGTCCTTTCCCCAAACTTTTATATCAGGTCTTGGTTGAGATGGAATTGGAATATGATAGATTCGTTCTCAGTTAGTTGGTTGGAAATGGAATTGCAACATGTTGCTTTTCCATGATCGAGTCTCTGAATCTATCAGACTGGATACCTTTTCAGTCACACTCAGTCATGATATCGAGGTTGTGTTTGCTACTGGAATAAAGGGAATGATGATATTCTACTAATCTTTATGGATTTGAAAATATGTATTGTTTGCTTATTCGATTTGATTATTGATTTGGTTGATTTGATCATGGACTTATGATCATACACAAGATCCTACCTCTTGACATTAGATTTGAAAATCCATGCGACCCACAAAGTTGGAACCCCAAAGTTCATGGACTTAACAAATTTAATTCTCGAACAAACTTCAAGCAAACAATGAATTTGTACAAAGTTCATAATTAATTGGTACCCAAATCCATCATCTAAATCAATGAAATAAACGATCCCTTATCAGAAAATCGTATCCTTGCCTTGAAGAACACAAGTTCCGTCTAAACAGAAAATAGGAGACCCAAATGTATCATCCTACAACGGAGACTAGAGACGACAGAAAATAGCTTTTGAAGTCTGACAAATTATCTTCCAACTTCTACATTGATCTCTTCAATTATTCTCCATTCCAAATTACAGTACACCGGAAAAAGAAAATAAAAAACTGAAGCAGGTGTTTTTATCATCTCAACCATGAGGGGGGCATGTATAACCCCAGCAAGATATTCTGTAATTTCACTTGTAAAGCTGCCTAAACCTCTTGCAAGCTTCCAAGACATTCGCTCTGTGACCGAAGGCACTCACCCTGACAAAGCCTTCACCGCCAGGGCCAAAACCGCTACCAGGTGTAGTTACTACATGGGTCTTCTCCAGAATCTCGGCAAACACTTCCCATGAGCTCCGGCCAGGGAAGTGTACCCACACGTATGGAGCATTCCTCCCACCATAGACCTTAAACCCAAGTGAGTTAAAGGTATCCACTATAATCTCTGTGTTCTCTTTGTAGAATCCAATTACTTCGCGCATTGCCTGCGAAGCAGATGGAGTTCATCTATATCTGTGGAGTGTGCCATGGAAGACAAACCTGAAAAACAAAACAAAAAAAGAACTGAAGAACGAAGAATAAGAAGAGGGGACCTTGAGGCCTTCTGGTGATAGGCAAGCCAGGCCACCAGCCTGAGCAATGTTGGAAGCACCATTGAAGCAAGTGCAAACAACTCGGTTGAAGTCCCTGGCAACAGGGAACCCATCAGAGAAAAGAAGCTCCTTTGGAACAACAGTCCAGCCTAGCCGCACTCCAGTGAACCCAGCATACTTGCTGAAAGATGATGTCTCAATCGCTACCTGAGATTACACATAAACCTGCCGTATCAGATATCACAACTTCAATAATCTATAAGGAACCATGGGAAACCCGTCAGGAGCAGCAGCACAAATGTCCAAGATATCAAGACACAAACACGGTATGGGAAAGATGTGAAAATTCACCCAAGTATTTAGCCTGTTCCACAAAACAGCAACGCAACAAGACAAAATATCAACTGAATCTTTACCTCTCTAGCCCCAGGAATTTCAAATATGGACCTAGGATTGTCATCAGACATATACATTGCATATGCTGAATCATAGACAATAATTGACCCATTATCCTTGGCAAACTGTACTAAACGGGTCAGTTGCTCCCTTGTTGCAGCAGCTCCAGTGGGGTTGTTAGGGGAACAGAAAAATATGATGTCTGTTCGCGCAGACTTAGATAAATCAGGAAAGAAACCATTCACCGGAGTACAATTCATGTACTCGATGTTGGCATACTTCTCGACATCCTTTTGGAACTGCCCAGTCTGACCCATTATGACACTAGAGTCGACGTAAGCCTGCAAAGAGTGGATATTAAGTCATTAGAGAAAGGCTACAACAGTCTTAGCGGATTACAGGGCAATCAGTTTATCTTGATATGATAATGCATATCATGTGGGTTCTGTTTATGTGATAGGCTTATAGCAAGTTCAAAGTGAAGTGAAAGATGACCGAGGTTCTCCCAAAAAGTTTAATTTCTGAAAAAGAAACAAGAGAGATTACCGGATATGATGGATCTTGGACTGCCATTGTGACATCAGAGCCAAAAACAACCTGTCAAATTATGAAGACACAAGAAAATTAATACATGAAAATAAAATGAGAGAATAGAAAAAAGCCAGATAAAACAATAAGAGAAACAGTGAACTGTTCAACAACCAACCTGAAGGCGTGATATGTCACATTTGGCACCATCAGAGACGAATATATCATCATCATTAATGCCAAGATCAGCATAGAATGTTGACCTAATCGCAGCTCTCAATGACTACATATAGCAACATGACAGGTTAGCTGCTTGACAAGCAAAAACCTCAAAATACAGAGCATGAAACGGGTTAGAATTCCTTTAGATAATATTAAGCCAGTTCCAAGGGTATAGTAGCTGCGAAATGGAATTTAAGATCTAAAGAAAAAACATACGAACAGCAGGTAGGCAGACAGTACTTGCAAATTGCAATTACAATACTCGACTATATCAGCAGAAGTAAGTTAGCGAGATTGTGAAATGAAGAGTAGCTGTGTCCCTTCTACAAAACTTAATAGTAGGTCCAGGCTGTCAAATTTCTGTAAATTTACTGATTGACAAAACTGTTTCCTCAGAGCACCATACCTTTTCACCTTGCTCAGCCCCATAGCCGCTGTAACCTTCAAGAGTAGACAATGCTTGACATTTCTGGAAAATGTGCTTTAGATGATAAGTACTCGACAGAAAGAAGACAACAGCAGCTATAAAAGCACCTCAAGCATGATTTACAAAAAAAAAACATCAGTCGTATGTATAAACATTAAATGTTTTCTCAGCAGCTGATGACCATATGATCTATATACTTCACTTCATTAGGAAGAGACAGCTAAATTGATTTATAATCCAATTCAATAGAAAGAGCTATACTACTAGTGTTAAGAACCTTATAGCAAAGACCACGAGGACTCAATATTAGAAGTAGTGCCATGTGTGACAGGAGGGCCATACTTTCGACATGGAAGATGTTATCACATCTGGAATGGGCTCGGTGGTGTCTCCTATTCCAAGGCTGATCACTTGAGCATCAGGGTATTTCTCCTTATGGGCATTCCTTCTTCTAGCAACCTGTTTTGGGCCAGAAAACGAAGCCACGCATCCAGGTCTAAATATCTTAGACAACATAATAAAATAGAGAAAGCAATGCTATGCTTGTCAGTAACCAAGTCTATAAACAGCAATGATGCATCAAATGGAAAAGAAGATCCATCGCCGTACCCAGGACGACAAGATCTTTCCTAATGTTGCCAGCAGAATACATTAAGATGAAAATAATGTAACTCAACTTTAACAGACGTGAATAAAAGAACACAGCACACTAATTTCGAGGTGTAAAAGAGCTTCATTAGCAAACGTAGAAATGGATATGAGAATAAAGACGAAGCTGGTGCACAGGTTCGAGAAAATGATTGGCAGATATGGAGGATACAAGTGAGTTAACAACGGCATGGTTAATATAAGTAGGTAATCAGACGAGTAAAAAGCGCGCTAAGCACTGCCAGATGCTTGTATCTAGTAGACAAACGTAATCAACCACTTTAGACAAAAGTTCAATGAGCTCGATCAAACAAGGACTCCATCATATTTCTTCTGTTAATAATTAAATGAGGTTACTTTCTAGCACACCCAAATCATAAACTCTACTCAATATCTCAAAATAATGGCACAAGTGTGTTCAGGTAAGCGCCATTTTACATACCTCGGGAAACAAGTAACCAGCTTGAAGCTTCCCGATGTTGGCATTGCGAGAGACACTGGTTTTGTAAGCTTCACAACAGCACAAACAAACACAGACCCAGAACTTCATTACCAATTCTCAGATACATGATTGCAGAAGAAGAAAAAAAGGAGGGGGAAACAGGGAGAAGAGAAGCACCAGTAGGAGTCTTCGCTTCCTGGGGAGTCGCAACACACCTGCAAATCTCAGAGTTTCGAAGCGGCAGCGAGAAGTTCTGGGTCCTGCGACGGTAAAAGAGGAATCGAACCCCATATGAGTAAAAAGAGAAGATGAAGCGTTGTCTTGCGTTCGTTAGAGGATAAGAAAGTGGGGATACCTGGAGGAGGAGGCGAAGGCAGAGGGAGGGGCAAGGAAAGTCGATGAAGAAGAAGAGATGGAGGCGTTGAAATGGTACTGGTGGAGAGGCATCTTTTCGGCTGGGGAGGGTAAATGACAATGTCAAATTAGAAGGATAGAGCAGCTGCAGCGGCTGGAAATAGGACTTCAATGGAAGCAAGGAAGAGAAATAGAGTGTGCCAAATCAGAGGCGAATTAGAAAGGCAGTTCCCCATTTTGTATTTAGCTCAATGGGGGTGATTTCCGGGTTTAGCTCAGTAACCTTTAGTGATGGCAATGGGCGGGGCGGTGCAGGTACCTCAATTCTCATGCCCAGCCCCACGTTATTACGGGTTGGGGCGGGTAAAACCCGCGCGGGTATGGGGCGGGTCGACCCACTCTTACATGTTGTTAAAAAAAATACAAGTAAATTTTACTTTTTACAATAAAACGTAGGAAAAAACATTTTAAGAATGAAAAATATTGATAATAGAATGGATAATTGAGCCTAACAAGTTGAAAGATCGACTCTAACTAGTTGAAGAAAAGTCAAAATAGGAGAAATATGTATAGATATTGTAAGAAATTGAGATAAAATGAGTCTAGAACGGGACGGGGAGGGGCGGGGCAGGGCGGGTCGGAAGTAGATACCCATGCCCCGCCCCACGCTACTGCGGGTCGGGTAATACCCGCCCCATCGCGGGTCAGGTCGGGTAATACCCGCGGGGCGGGTTGAAATTGCCATCACTAGTAACCTTAGAAGTAACCTGTACGTGACGTCAGCATTCTCTGTTTTATGGAAATATTTTTATCTTTTTTCTTTAATTTTTATGAATAATTTTTATCCCATTTTAAGTGAAATTTAAAAAAAATTCACAGGTAAATCATATTAATTGTGCTCTTCAAAATGATATTCACTTTGATATATTTTTAGAACAAAAAAAAATTGAATAATTTTTTACGAGTCTATATCATATGGTATTGACTGGTAATAAATAAGAGCATATCATATGGTATGAAAGCGTATCATGGTGGTATGAACATACCAATACTGTATGATCGTTGAATACATGATAGTAGGAGACTAGGAGTATACAAACTATCATTTATGACTTTCATCATTGTGTACCACAAGTTAGCACCCCCATACCAGTGTGGTATATTATGATATTTTTGAATTTTTTTCACCCAAAAATTTGTAGATCCAATAGATCATGATGAACTCGTTCCTTATGTGCAAATATTTTCAAAAACGACTTAAAAACGAAGAAGATACTATATGGCTTTGAGTTGGTAATGAGAGGTATGAAAATAATTCTCATAAAATATTGAAAATTGATATCATTTTGTAAAGCACAACAAACTCGTTCCAGCTATGCAAAAAAAAAGAAATTCAAGTCAGAACAAATAAGATAAGAGTCGATTAAGAAAACTAGAGAAAGTAAAATGTCTTTAATTCACAACACCTAGATCTAAATTTTCTGGAACCACTTAAAAATCCAAAAGTCTAGATTAGTTAAGCATGGGTGAGCAACCAATGGTTACTGACCCTATATCTTGAGCCGTGATCTCTAGTCGTAGGATTCAAAATTTGTTTGCTCTTTTTTTTCATAATTCCACTAAAAACACTAACTTTGAGAAACATTTTCATTTATATAGTATGCTTTTTCATATATGACAGTTGCGTTATCTCCGCTAGTCTTACCGTGAGTTTTTTTATTGAGATACCATCAACACCTAGTCTGGTCAGCTTAAGGTGGAAAAGAAAATTCGGTCTATTTTAAATGTAATGCCTAGCAAGGGCGTAGTCAGGATTTTGTCGATGATGGGTCTATTTAGAAACAAATACATACAATAAAATAGTTTTGTAAGCTTTTCAAATCATTCATGATATTTCTAAAAGAAAATCATGATATAATTTTGCATTTACAAAAATTTGGTAAATTAAATATATGTCGAAACTATCAAGAATGTTAACACCAATTATTAATAATTTAGTTAGACATTTGTTTTTGAATAGTGTTCTTCGTCAAGACCATTTAGTATCAATAACTCGAGTTATTTTGAAAGATATATTAATGGACTGTACTATTTAGTATTTACTAACACTTCCCTGCTAACGAAAACCAACTTATACGTGCTTAAAGTTTTTGCAAATCTGAATATCACGTGCTTAACAAATGGGGTCGCCAAGATTCGAACACATGATCTCTCAGTCAACTATTCTCAATTAGAAGTGCGTTAAATTTCATTCTCAATTACCTATTATACTATTTTAGTCATTTTTTTCCTTTGGAACAGCCTATTACACTCTCACTAGTCCTACTCCTTATTGAAATAAAATTATTATTATAAATTAGCTATGATTTGGTGGAAATTTGCTCGGGATATTGGACAAATACATCTTTAATTTTGGGCGAATTATATGCACCATTGTCATTTGTACATAATTCATTATAAATACATTGAATATGTCAAAACACAACTTATAAATCATACATCAAATATTTGAAAGGTCAACCCTTCTCATTAAAATACTTAATAATTTTCATATCCGATTAACTATTATACCTAATTTACAATTTTTCCTCCCGAGCCAAGGTGGTTCCCGGGACTCACCCTCTAACCTTCCCCCTTCGCCCCTGACGCCTTGGAAAATTCTCATATCAACAAAACACGAGAGAGGTCTATAATTCATCTGGAACATCCAATCTTAATTGACAAGACGCGATTGAAGACTTTTGTAAGAAATTTGAAGTTAAAAGTGCTTAATTTGGAGCAGTGCAAATGTAGATGACCTGTCGGGAAGTTATAATGATGCACCTCAAAAAGAAAACCCGTTCGGGGGTAGACCCAAAGTGTACAATATTTTGGTCAGAAAAGGTCGGGATGTTACAAGTGGTATCAGATTCCCTCTACATCCTTTTGAGCGATGGGGGGAGGGGGCAAACCTTAACGAGGACATTGAGTCACGAAATGGGGTGTATGTAACACTTTATGCAAATCTCACATTGACCAAGCACGAAATAGATTTGTGATTCATTTGGAACATCGAACCTTAACTAAAAAGATGTGTTTTGGGTTGAAGTGGAAGAGTTTTTGTAACAACTCTGAAGTTAATGTGCTTAGTGTGGAAGAGTGCAAAGATGGGGGACTTGCAGAAAGTCATCATAATGTACCCCCAAAAGCAAACCGGATATGCCCAAGTAAACAATATTTTTGTCTGAAAAAGTCAGGATGTTACAAGATATTTACAAACCTCTAATAGTTCTTCTCCTTCTCCCTCCTATGCAGGGACGGAGTCAGCTCATAGCTAGGGGGCCATGGCCCCCCCTAAGTTTAGATAATATAAATTTAGTTCAACTAAACCAAAGAAGTAACGTAGCTCTGTTGGTCAAGTTGCTTTTTAACTTGTTGTCTAGGGGGAAGAAAGTAGCACGGTTCGATCCCTGCTTGTGTTACTTTTTTACCTTCTTTTCTCTATATCTTATTTTATATCATATTTCAAAGGTATGTGTTGTTGATGTTTGACAGTTTGAGCATGTTATTTTTCAAAATCTATCAGATGCTTCTCTTTGTTTATGTTTTTATAGGTTTCGTTTATTAATTTTAACTTTTATATAACCACCGTATTTAGAATTCATATTTTAACTATGACTATCCCATGGTATAATTATAAAACTTGAACTAATATTTTAAATAAGAAACTAATACAATTATAATATGAACTTTTTTGTCACTTTAATGGTGAGTAAATGTGAATTTTGATCCTAATGTGTTTATCTTATTACTAAACTAATGAAATTATAATAAGGAAATATATCATGTACCATTAGTCGATTTCCTGCTTAAAATTTGGCTATTTGTTTTTTTTTTTTTTACTTTCAAGAGATATATATTGAACTTTTAAATGTAAGTTTAAGTGATTCTTATTATGTCAAAGTCTCAAAGTGATTGTGCGTATTATATATTTACTTATAGAGGGAAATTAGAGTGCATACGTTTGAGGATATTCTAAACTAATGAGCACGTCCGAAAAATTATACTTTAAAATTTAAATTGAAAACATGATTTATTTGTAGAAATATAGAATTGTAAATTTTTTTGCCCCCCCCCCCCCCCATCTTGATATCCTAGCTACGTCCCTGCTCCTATGCACAGTTATAGTCGCCAACCTTATCTCCCTTCAATCTCATTCTCAATCCAACGTGATGACCCTTCAATCTCTTGCTTGCTAACTTGCATAAAACTCCATGCTCGTCCTACCTCGTCTTCTTCGATGCCAAGAAGCTCCCTAACAAGTGCGAGCTCCGCCTCCAAGATCTCCACTGCGAGTATGCTCTCCTCCCCTCTTCTGTTATCACCAACAACCTCAACAACAACAAGCTCTTCCTCTCATACATCGAGTTGAAAGATAGAAATCCACATTCTCCCTCTTCAATGTCAATTTCTATCCATTGCATTGGCCCAATCGGTTCCGAAGTCAAGAATCCCTACGATTCGAAGTAGATGGATGATCGCCCGTAACTATCACAGGAAAAATAGGCAAGGGTACCTATCGTTCTAATGTAGTATAGCAGGAAGCAAGGTCGTATCCACAGAGACTTTGTGTACTAGTACTCAGCTTTTACCTATTATCTAGTCAATCGTTTTTAGTTGATTTTCGTTTAGAAATAAAAACACACGCAATAATAAAAACACAATAAAGTAGTTTTCAAAGTAAAATCAAGTGGAGAAGTCGTTGTCCCGGAAGTGAATCCCCCTAATATGCATTTTACAGACAAGTTGAATTTAACATAGACGAGTGTTAATATCTTAGACCGTGAAAATTCCCAATTTAGTGTTAACCCGTTCGCACATGTATTAACACCCTTTTGACTTAAGAATCAAGTGAAACCGTGGCTTACAAAAATCTTAAACCAAAGCAATAACGAGATTTATGAACTTTCGTATTAGGTTTTTAAGCTAATCCAGAGGAACTACGTGACCCCATCGCCGGTGGCTCCGATCAATTCCTTCTTTTCACGAGGGATCTAACATGCAAAATTACCTCGCAGTCTCATTTACATGTATCAGAACAAATATACAATAGACGCGTACTATTGATACTTACACATGATAAGTCGAGAAAAGATCGTAAGAACGAGAACAACACGTCTATATCAAAGATACCACTCAATCAAAGTAAAACATATTAGGGTTCATCAAATCCGGAACAACTAGAAGATTAGCCGGACATGATGAGATT